GCACTTAATTTTGAGCTGCTTTCTATAAAGCTAAAAAATATTGATGTCCATCGCCATAGAAATTTCTTGAAGGGTTCTATACCGAGTATTTTTATATGTAAAATTCACTTGATTAAAAAGGCCCACAAGGCTTACTGATACACAGCTAATATGTAGTTTTAAAAATTATATTAAATGAGCCAGAAGCAGATTTTATTCTTTCTTTCTTAGGTAACGTAGGAAAACTAACTTTTTAAAATTATATTTATCATTTCAGGAAAATCAATATTTTAGCAGATCAAGTTGTAAAAACAAAACAATTTTTTTCTTTTCTTAAAAGGAGCAGCTAAACAAAACTATGGCGGCTAAAAAGTTGTCCCAAACATACCCTTAAAAGATGGAAAAATATTACGCCCGGAGTGCTAAGCTACGTCCGGACAATGGACGTGATATACCGAATGGAACGGAGAAACAAAAAAACACCTCAGGTATCGCGTCCGTTGTCCAGACTTAGATTAGTCGGGACGAAATGGAAGATGACTCAATAAGCTGAACAAACATATGAATGCCTTCACATGGAAGAAAAAAAATTGCAGAAAGAGAGTTCAAAACACCATGAACTGAATCAGTAAATATGATATGATGCAAAAGAATTAAAGAAAACACCTTCAGAATAAATATAAATATTTCAATGCAGCAACATTCTGTAAATATAAAATAAATTTCTATAAAATAAATACAACCAAATTAACCTGCACCATATGCGTCAACAAATAAAGGCTAAATAAATATGTCGACTTTATTTTTACACACACACAGTATTTTGCATGTATTTCTTCCACTTTAAATCAAGCTTCTAGCCACCAAAAAAAACCTAAAACTTTGAAAACCACAACTGGAACAAAATTCCTATTTCATTTCTGAAGTTAAGACTTGAGAGCATATCCTTCAGTTTTCTTCTAAATTTTGCAAAGCTCTTGCTAACTATGATTGGTCATGTTTTCTATACATTAAATCAATATATCAACATTTCTGATGGGTTATGATTTTATAGATATTCTCATCACCAGTTGTGGAGTTCTGAGGCAATGCTCTTGACGACCGGATGGTACTGTGTGCGTGTATATGTTCTAGCTTTCTCTGAACCTGGTTGCTCGAGCCACTCAGCATATAAGGTCTTTACAATGGGATTCTCAAAAGGACTAGCAATCAATACCTGAATGTGTAATACACAAAAAAAAATATAAAATAAAAAATAATAATTAAAAAAAAAAGTTTAAAGTTTGCTAAGAAAAAACTGTCTGCTATTAAAGGACGCAATGATTTGAGCTTATTTTAATTATGTTAATATGGTGTAGCAATCAATACCTGAATGTGTAATACACAAAAAATATATATATAAAATATAAAATAATAATTAAAAAAAAAAAGTTTAAGTTTGCTAAGAAAAAACTGCTTATTTTAATTATGTTAATATGGTGTCAAGATCAGATTTTTGAGAAGTCGGAGTAATAGTATGCACCAAGCCATGGAAAATAACGAGAATTTATTAACAAGAAAATGAGAAAATAAATACTAGAATGATTTAAAAAATTAGAAGACATGCTTGAAAACTAGGAGGGATAATGCATAAAGCACCCCTATACATTTTATCAAATGCAACACCCATACTTCTCAAATTCAGAGGGACGACAACTCGAGGCATTCCTAAATCTTTGTTTGTTGATGCGCAAGAAGCAATTCGAGCAAGTAGAAATTTGTCTTCCTCACTTAATTTCCATAAGGAACATTTCAAATGCGCCAACATTAAGATCAATATGAGAAGATTTTTCTACACGCCCTAAATGATGTATTGCTTAGTGCAACAAAGTTATTCTAGCGGGTAGTAATTTGTTTCGTTCACGTGAATGTCATAAGAAACATTTTTATTAGACCACATTTTGTATAATATATGAGAACATTTTTCTAAAGCCTCTGCTGCATAGCACATCAAAGCAATACAAGTAATAATTTGCCTTGATATAACATATTCCTACTGACACAAGAATTCGCATATCACCTAACAGCGTAAGCTCTTTTCACTCACTCAATGGCCGCCTACTTTATTCCTATGTTATTGAAAAGTCGAGCAGTTGCTCCACTCCTATATGTTGCGGATAAGTCTAACTCACACCCACTACCAATAAATAATAATGACTAAGTGTAACTATGCTCAAACAAGATGCTAAGTTGATCACCGCGCACTCCTATGAGTCACTAAAAAGTCATTAGTAGTTTCGTTTCTTTTGACAACTGAGACAATTTGTCCATTCTTCTCCTTCGGACTGCAAAATTGGTCATCAACTTAGGCTTATTTGTCATCAACTTAGGCTTACATATTTCTGTTTAGGCTTTAGAGTTTAGGGTATAGTAAGGAACGCCATTTAGGGGGTGTAAAATAACTCATCACTAGCTTCGAATAAGGCAAAAAACCCGTTCATCGTCATGTAACTTCACTATACATGAAGGAGCGGATAGAGAGTTGAAACTTACCCTCTTTCATGTACATGTGATATAGTGCAACTTTCTTAGTCATCCATAATGAGTTTGTTTTTTGTACATAATTATTTATATTTAAATTAACCATTAACATATAATTATTAAGCGTTAAATGTATGCATTTAGTTTTAAACATGCCTTGAACATGTTTCTTATATGTAATAAAGACATTTTATTTCCTTTCATTTTACATTTAAATTTTTAATATATTTTAGGCAAATCTTATGAGCTTTGAGCTAATATAAAAGTCTCTAGTCTTGTATTAGTATGATTACATGATGAATTAGAATTTGAGATTTCATATGGCAAACTCTCTAGGATTATCCCCTTCCAGGGTCTCTACTTGCTAATTCGTCTACACCACTTGCCTCTATTGTTCATTTGTCTTATTGTTAAAATCTTTTATTCTCTATATCTCATCAATTCTCTTCATATATCAAATTATTATAAAATTTGTTGTGTTCTTCATTATAAGCATAGAGAAAACATACACATAAATAATTTACCAAATCTCTTGACTTAATTATAGCAATTTGCATCAAGCTCAATCTTTATAAATTCTAGGGCACTCCAAATCATACTTGAATTGTCATATCATTCTCTAAATCATCAAAAGAAAAGTAGGGCCCACCTCAATCAATCTTGTCATGGGGCATGATTCATGGATCACTTCAAGAACCCATTAAGCATTTCTACTTACACATTTGACAAAAACTAATCTCATGTGCACCATAGAACCAATTCAATAATCTTGTCGCCCCCTAAAAGAAAACTCGCAATCTCCAAAATACCTTCATCTGACTCTATAAATACCCCTCTAAGGTATTCATTCTTGATTCACAATTTTCCTTCAATTCTTCCACTCATTTATACTGAGTGAGAGTGAGAGCGCCCTTATTCTTTCCCAAACAGAGTTGTCCCACATGAGACAATAAGCTAATGTGTGTGCACTGATAGTCATAACAACACACAATATTTACCGCATGTCACCCTCTTATTCTAAAACAGGTTCTTCAAAAAAATTTTATGCACAAGTAATTGCTAGAAAATTTTTGTAAAGAACGCCATTAAATAGATTGATTCGTGATGCTTAGGCTACAATTTTATGTCTTTAAACATAAATTTTTTTTCCATCCAGACATTTTATTCATTCATGTAAATATAACTGATAATGATTGCATTTGCATAAAATCACAGCAATAAAGAAAGTTTAGGGGTGTTAAAGGCTTACATCTTGCATATAGACATTTCCCAGCTGTTGGATAAGATTGGTAGCAGACTGGCCTGCCGCAGGTTTGATTTGGCCTCCACCATTAAGACAGCCTATTAATTAAAATCATTAAAAATTAAACTGAGGAATTTCAACCAGTTAATTGAAAAAAATAAACCACCATTGTGCAACAATTAGGAGACAAAAATACCTGAAGGACATGCCATTATTTCTAGAAAGTGGTAGTCAGATTTCCCTTTACTTATTTTTTGCACAACATTTCGTAAATTACGGAATCCATAACAAAGTGCAAACCTGAGAACAACCTTACCATCAACCTGCATGCATAGCTCACATTAAGTTAAGGCTGCCAAGGTAAAGTAGTTTGTATATAAAAAACCAAAAAATTAATAGAACAGATAAACCATATTTACCTCTAGTGCCACTTCTTGAAAATCTGAATTCCGTATGATCCTAAACTGAAGCGGACCTTCAATGTCCCTATTAAATAGATTTTTAGCAGCATACCGAAAAATTGTCTCGGCGTAACCTCCGGAACCACCAGAAACCCCATAAAAAAGCCCATTATCATCAACGTTTGTTAACCTTTGTTGTTCTCACAGAAAAAATAAACTTCAATCAGTTCAAGCTCCATGCTGATTAAATAAAAACATTTGCATAGAAGGGCAAAGTTTGTAACAGTTATGCCTTACGATTTCAAATATAAAAAAGAAAAAAAAGTGTAGCATAAAATGGCCTTTATATGGATCCCTTTTCAACATTGAAGTTCTAATTCTTATCAAATAACTACGGGGATTCAGGCCATTCCCAGTTTCTGCTACACATTTCGTATTATATTTGGTATTTATTTCATATTATTCAAATGACAGTTCAAACTGCTTTTTAAAAAAATATAAATCCTTGAAACTAAAACAAAATTATAGAGATAGGGGACAGTTTAAAATTCAGTTGATCGGCAATAAAAGAAGGAATAGTTAACATATTTATTAAGAAAATGGAGAATTATGCCGACATTTAAACACGATGCTAAGAAAGTTCTGTTTATTAAACAAAAGAGTTGGATCGCCATTTAAATAAAGTATAAATGCTTTTGCAGTAGTTTATAACTCCAAATTCCATAATGAAATAATTTCATATATCATTCATCTCTTCCAATTGTAGTTTTTTGTTTTTTTTTGGGCCAAAAAATCAGTTCACAAAAATTCACGTAATGAACCATATTTGAGACAAAAGACAGTCCTAAAACCTAAAGCTCTGAAAAAAAAAAAGATTTTATGAGCCAAATCTGCCATATAATAGTTCTTAAATCTCAAAACAATGATCAATATCACCAGATTGCATAGACCAAAATCAAACCAAGCAAATGCCCGGCTGATTTTGATTAACTTAAACTGCGATCAAAACTATTAACAAAATGGGCAAAAAATCAAGGGAGAAATGTAGAGAAATGCATAAAATTATATAAACAGCAATAATAACAAGTCCTTATCCCACTAAGAGGGGTCGGCTACACAAAACCTTTTTCTCCATTATGTCCAATTGAGTGTCATGTTTCATTTAATTCTAATAAATTTAAATCATTTTTATACATGTCCAAGTCTTTTTAAGTCTACTTATGCCTTTCTTAACATAAATCGAATCTAAAATCTAATCAAAAACGTCTACTCTCAAAACCGGATCATCGGATGTTTGATGTTTAATGTGACCAAACCATCTAAGACGACTCTCTCTAACCCTGTCTGCCATTGGAGCTATACCAACCCTTTCACGGATACATTTGTTTCACATTTTGTCTTTAAGTTTCAAGCCACTCATCTACCTAAGCATTATCATCTCAGCAACACTCAACTTAGTTTTATATTTCTCTTTTAAAGGAAAATATTTTGCACCCTAAAGCATTGCAGTCACACCACCATCTTATAAAACTTTCCTTTTAAATCTTAGCGGTACTTTTATATCACACAATAAGCCCAATGCATTCCTCCACTTCAGTCATCCAACTTGATATCTATTAATAACATCCCCATCTATAGGACCATCATTTTGAACAATAGGCTAGAGATATCTAAAACGTTCACAAATTTTAATGGTTTGATCACCCACAATTACAACTCTACTGCTAGATCTATCACTACTAAAATTACATTCCATATATTCAGTTTTAGATCCAATCAAAAGAAGATCTTTAGACTATAATGTAGACCTCAATAATTCAAGTTTTTCTTATGTCGAGAAAACAAATTCAAACGACGAAACAGCCCATTAGAAAAAGACAAAACAAGTGTTCTATACAAGCATTACAGAAGTATTCTTGTGCTACATGATTGTCAAAAGAATTAATAGTTCAATAAATATTTTACTTAAGCATACGTCATAAAGCACAATAATGTCCATTAATGTACAAAAAAACTTCATAATAGATTAATCTTTACATATTAATGTCTCAGGAAATGAAAGTCCTTGAACTTGTTTTACTCCTTTCAGAAATGAAGGGTTTTCAAGGATTTAGTAGCCAGACTAGTGAAAAAGCAGCTCCCTTGTTGTTTTCAATGACATGAACCAAACAGTCAAAGCAAGAGATGGCAAAATACATATGAAAGGCATTTCTTATATCCATGATATTGGTTGGGGACGATTTAGGAATTAAATGTCCTAATGCAACAAAGATGTTGTATTGCACGTCAAAAAAAAAAAGATAAAATATGATATGCTTATATTGATGAACAATCTCTTTATGAAAAAACTACCCCAAATGATTTAAAATTCAGTTGTTATAAATTATGTTCCTTCACAGGTTGCATGATGAAATTCTATATTTCAAGTTTCATAAACATTTACTATTAACAAATTCTCTGAAATATTGAAGCTACTTATTTCTAATTATGAGGTATGTTCAAGGAGTTTGTATGCCACCAAACCAAAAATCAAAGATAAAATCGATATTAGTCTAACCATGCCTCAAAAGAATAACATCAATAAACAATTCCTTATGAATTGAGTTATCAAATTCCTTGATCAATCCGCAAACTATAGTAGATATTAATAACTCAATTTGGTGAACAAGAATAAACTCAATTTTATCATAGGTTTGGGGTTGGGGTAATATATCATGGTCAATTGTCTCAAACTGACTCTTGTATAAATATAGGTCCATGTTTAAAAATATGGTCTGTTGTAAATGTAAATTTATTAGACATAGACTCATAATATAACAACAAAATATTTCCCCATCAAAAACATTTTCAAATGAATATTCATGAAGAACAATTTCTTCAATGAGATCAAATTCAACCATACATAGTTCTATAGTGGTGTATTCAGAAAAGATGACATCAAATTGTGAATCACAAGTTTGATAACCCTAATAGAATGTTCAAAATATGCTTCAATATTAAAATATCTAAATAAAACACAATAATATTTTGCTTAATTGTAGCCTAGTTCATTCATAAACTCTTGCCTGAGACCTTTAATAAAGTTAATTGCAGTAAAATAGTCTAAAAACAACTCGTGTAGCTAGAAGACAAGTAAACCTGGCGAATAAATAAACACACCAGGATGTTATTATTTCTCACTTCTAAATTGATTATGCAATTTTTCTTATAGTCATCACATGATAGATCTCTCTCTTTAAGTTTACATTTCTATATCAACCTAAGTTGATTTGATTTACATGCAACACCGTCAAAATATATGACCATTACTCAATAATTTTGTTTCAGCAACATTTCATTTTAAAAATCAAAACTTGCTAAGTAGATAAAATTGCAATAGAGGACTTAAGTTATTTATCTAACCTATTTAAATTAGCATACAAGTTGAATTTCTTGATGAAGTAAGCAAAATCCTTCCTCAATCAGCTCACTACAAAGTAGAGTCAACCAAAGCAAAATTGCCTTGGAAAAATACAGAACAAAATGAGGCAAAAAAGATTAAGTTCATGAGAAAAATATCATCAGCGAAAAACATAACACCAAGAAACATTCTTCTGTAAATGACCAAGAAGAGAATCCAAAACTTGATAAGAATAAAATAGCCTGAGTCATTAGACAGGCAGCATACAATTCTAGATATCAAATGTTTCATGACAAATAAAAATCAACACTAATCAAGTGAGTAGAAAATCTAAAGACTCGAGAAGAATGAGAACCTTACAATCTATCCGGAGGATCTTCTACCAGAGCTTTGAAATCAATTGATTTTAACTGCAAGAAAAGAAAGCTGCGGTTGAATTATCAGAGAGAAATTTGGATAAAAATTAGAAGCATAATCTATCAAAATAGACTAATCGTAAGACATATTTATACCTCTACCAGATTTCATACCTTTATCAGATCTAACACCTCTCCAGTCGTCAAAACTATGTCCACCTCTGGAATCTTCATGGCTGAAAAATCATCAACAGGATAATTTTCTCCTCCATGATCCACTGAAAATACAAAATCATCACGAGCAGCCTCAAGCTTTTTATCATAGCAGGGCATCACAGTCACATGGAAGATTTTGTCTGGCCTATAAAATTCCAAATGTTCTCAAATTTAGTAAAATAATAATTTGCATCATTAGGCGAACAGTTTTAAAGGTGCAGGAATTTTTGCTACAACTCACAAGAAAAAAGAATTCAATTAACGCAAAATTTACTTAAGTTCCAGGTGAAAATTAATGAAAATTACACTTTGCGCAAATTCTTGTGTAAGGAAACCTCCTTCAAAAAATGAATCATTGTAATAACTGAATGACAAAAGTAGTAGAAGCTTAAAAAATCTCAGCAAGTATATATAGAATGTTTTAAACACAAAAATACCACCATAAACAGTTTACACCAGTTTATTTAATCGGACAAAAAAATTGTATTTAATCATTATAAAAAATATTGTGATAAGTGCTGGGGAAAGGGCCATCAAGTAAATTCAAAAGATTAACTAGGAAAATATTGAGATAGAGCACCAATGATAAGGATTCCAAATCATCAAAATCAATGGTAACCAAGTCGACTGCATGAAAAAATCAAAGGACTGTAGTCACATGCATGGATCAATTTGCTAATAATCAGCAATCTATACGCACTGAATAATGCTTAAAAATTAAAGACAATGATAACTCTTTTGTTATTAAAAAATTTAGCTTATTTGATCATGTTTCAATGCATGGAGCATGCCAAGGTTGAATAATATAACTCTTACCAATTTAGCCACAAGTCTAGTCATCATGCACAGCATGAATTAATTGTGCTTATTTTTCTAATTAAGATTCCGCCCTGCTGATTTCTTGTTGTTTCTAAATATTGTAGCCCATGCCAAGCTTTAGAAATAGAGAAATTTGCATACATACCACACAATTCCATGTACTTATATATCCAACACCTAAAGTATAATATTTACTTTTATAACATTTTGTTGCCATAAACCTATGGATGAAAAGCTGCATTTCACTATTAAAAAGTTGGTAATAGTCTTATTTTGATGTGATGTTAATGATTTAAGCGCTATGCTTGTAGCTATAAAAGTTTAAATGTTAGATACGTACATACATAAGAATGTTTCACTTGTCACTTGGCATTCAAGTAAAACAATACTAGTTATCTGCATACAAAGATTATAGCAGCTACCTAAGAAAAGAATATGAAAAACTTACGAGTATCCCATCTTTTTTGATATGTGATGCTTGAGTATAGCTCCCATTACTTGTTGGGGACTCTTCACTGAGCTAATATACGGTAGGATAAAAGATCCCAAAGTCTTTTCCGCATAGCATATCCATCCTGAGTACGAGCCACACATCATGCTCATATATAAAGTGTCAATAACCAGCATGTCAACCATTGACATGAAAAGTATTTTCAAGTAGTTGTCACATAAGGAAAGGTAACAAAGTGTTCAAATAAGCACTAAAAATAATGAAAACGCAATTTCATTTGTATCACCCAAATAATGCCTGTTTACAGAACCACCGATCTCCTACCTTCACTTGACAAATTTTCAACCAAATATTAAAACTGACAACAAAAACACAGCGACACATTTTTTGCATTTATCAAATTCTCAATGGTTTATCATTGCATCAGCAAATAGATGTGTTGGATAGTTTATTTTTTTGGTCAAGCATTAGACGCATGACTTAGGAGGTATTTGTAGTTTTCTATTACATTCAAAAAGTAATCCACGTAATATGATAGAATGGCATACATCAACTGATAGACAACCGTAATACATAGACAGAAAGAATTAAATGCTATTTATTCTACAGTCTACAAGTATAAGACCTAGTTTTTACAGTAATGTTGCAAATGAACTGCTAAAACTAAGAAAGCCCTACTAGCATAATTCTAAGCTTTTTTTCTAAACTCCCAAAGACCATGAACACGCATTTCTCTATTACTCTCAATCTCTGTTTCACTTGAGTCATAATTTTCTTTAGTGACGGTCAAGTTGAACAGTAATATTTAAAGAGTATTTCTCGTCTCAATATTAAGAAACAGCACTTTATCACCATAAATTCAGAACTTCCACAAATAATCAGGCTCCATTATGCAAATTGTGATTTCCCAAAACATATAGCCAAAATGATTTTAACATCAAATCTTGCATCGCTAATACTTTAACATGTAAAAATTGAAGGTACGCTAGTGTATGCAAGTAAAGAATCTTCAATTACTAGTACTGAATAGCCTGTGATAATTTCACATATTGTGTTGACATCTAAAGCAATTCATTTTCTGAGAACTAGCCTAGCCATTCGAGAAGACTTCTGCTGAAGTTTGTTATTGTTTGAGCAAAGATTTTTAAAATTATTCAAAAGAAGATAAGCGATAGCAGGCACAGGGATATTGTGTGTTTCCACATACACAAATGACGGACGAGCTTTTTTCTGGAACTTGCAAAAGTCTGTCCCAGTGCAAAATGCTCCCGTTTGGCATCAAAAAATATATATATATATATATATACACGCGATGTCTCTGCTAGGGTTTACTCCTGTCGCATCTTCATAGCGACCCGAGTAGCCCTCGTTATCTCTTCGTCGGATCGAAATCGCAGCCTGCTCCTTCGTCATACTTCGTCGTCTGCTCGACTTCATTGTTTCCTTCGTCACGCTTCGTCTGCCTCGAATTCTTCTGCGTCGAATTCGTCTGCTCAACTCCGTCTGCTTCGGCTTCATCGGCTGCGCGACTCCGTCTGCTGCGTCGTTTCCGCGTCCTTCGTCGTGCCTTGACGAAATTGCAGCCTTCGTCGTCTGCGGCTCCTCTTCGTCAAGGCCGATACGCCGCATTGACCTGCTCAACTGCTCGCATCGTTCGTTGGCGACAGGTTTGCTCGCCTATTTCCAGCATCCAACGGCTCCCCGGCTCCCTAGCTGCTTTGGAGATGGCATCCACGATCCGCTCCTATGCCACTGCACTTGTCGGCGACATTCCTATTCCTACTCGTACTTCTCTTTCAGGTTCAGAGTCTGATTTTCATATTGGCAAATCCTGCAACGTTCCTCAATCTTTTCATGATGATCTTGAAGGGGGTGACAATCACACCTTTATAAAAAAATTAGGAAAAAAAATGGGAAGCCTGCATGTGTTCTCACAGAGG